TGGGGTGAGGGAGCAGAATATCATATTGAACAGAACTGTGGAATGTTGTCGGGATCGAGTCTGACTCGGTCATCAATCTTTTAATTTGGCTCCATCATTCTATTTGACTCAATATTGTCACCAATCATCTTATTTGACTCAACCACCAATCATCATATTTGCCTCAATCATCAATCATCATATATGACTCAATCATCAATCATCATATTTGACTCAATCGTCAATTATCATATTTGACTCAATCATTGTTCATCACATTTGACTCCATCATCAATCATCATATTATTTGACTCAATCATCATTCATCATTTTTGACTCGTTTCTTCTCCCCAGAAAAAGACGACAAAGATGGCGGTGACCCGTCCAACCAAAGCCAATCTGGGAAACAGCGACCGAATTCCGCCTCCAAATCTGGGTCCAGCAAATCGAGCAAGCAGTCAGGGGTAGGTCACTCCGTCCCTTCTCTCTGCTTTTTCCTTACATTTTCAGGAGTTACTCCCCTTTGAGCCAACTAGTGTTTTTGTTTTGTTTTGTTTTTTATTTTGTTTTTCATTTTTAACCTTTGCCTTCCGATCCTGTTTTGTTCCTTCTCTAAAACAAAACGTTGATTAACATGTCCAGGTTTTTCCACCGTACAATGTAGAATCTCCTGCAGCGAGCTCTCGGAGAGGCTCTGTTTCTGTTGACAAGATTATACCGGGTGCCCATTGAGGATCGGATCGGATCGGATCGGATCGGATCGGATCGGATCGGGTCTTGTCGGGTCGATCGCCCGACTCGTCACCTGAAAATAAATGAATATGGGGTTTCCATTGCAGATGGGATCGGGTCGGGTCGGGTCGGTTCAGTTCAGGGGCGATCGCCCCACTCGTCGCCTGAAAACAAACCTCTCCGACCCAACCCGACCCGATCCTCCAATGGGCACCCGTAAAACATGTTAGTTTTTTAGGCGACGAGTCGGGCGCGATCGGTTTGTGCCACGATAGCTGCTTTGCGCCGTCAATCTTTCTAGCCCCTCCCCGCCCCGCCACGCCCCGACCTCACAATGGGCACCCCGTATAAAGCTTTGTCCACTGTCGCCTCATTCCCCTCCCTCTTCGCTCTCGCACCGCCTAGTCCAGCTATACACAGTTCCGTGCTGGTTTATCCCCACTCCATCCAACAGATAAAACAATCTGTGGATAGACACCACAGCGTCTCTTGCTGTTTCTGCCAATATAATAATTTCTCGCACCAGTCTAGCTACTACACTTTAACCTGCATCTCCGAGGCACCAGCCACTCCCACACTTATACCTCTGAGCCACAACCCGCTCCACACAACTCTCTCTGTTGATAAACCGGTTAACTATTGGCAACAGTTTGTGTATAACTCTAATAGACTGTTAACAGCAAGTTTCCCACAACTAGGTTGACTATTGGCAGCAGTTTGTGTTTAACTCTTATAGACTGTTAACAGCAGTTTTCGTACAGTTAGGATTGACTATTGACAGCTGTTTGTGTATACTTCTGAACGCCTAATGATAGCAGTGTGTGTATAGCTGTGATCAACTGTATTTTTTCCTGCCAACAGTGTGCACATAAATTTGACCAGACTAATGTGTTGCCGTGGTGTGGAATCTCTGTCTTTCACTCTCTCTCTCTCTCTTTCTCTCTCTCTCTCTCTC